GGGGAGGGGAAGAGGGGGGCAGATCCATCCTGACCTGTCGGGAAGAAGTCAGTGGCATATACGGACGAGAGATAAAGTGTGGAAACCTGCGGAAGCTGTTGCAGCTGAAATACACCCTTGGCCAACTGATGAAGTATTATTTATATCCACAAGTAGAGATCCCGACAGGATATGCCTCTGTCTTAACAAAAGAAGGATCCGAAAAGAAGAAAAAAAGAAAAGGGAAGAAAGTCCAAGCCCCATGAATGATGAGGTGAATCTACCCAACCCAAGAGGTAGAGAGTTTCTCAGTTTTAAGTTAAAAAAGGGGAAAAAAAAAAGGAGGTAGATACAGTTCTACCCTCTATATTTATTTTTTTTGCTTACCTTAATGATGTATTGCACGCCATATCCGAGTAGAACTGGCTTCGGTCTGATCCATATTGTGACAGGTGCAGTGCATTTGATCCGCATTGTGACAGGTGCAGTGCATTTGCACACAACATGACAACAGCAGGAGCAGACCAAGAACAAAATATTAAAATGTATTAAGAAAAAAAAAGGTAACACATATCTGAGAGGGGAAGGGCTGTCTCTTATACACATCTAGATGTGTATAAGAGACAGGCTATATAGGGCCTGCGTGTCGACAGTCCGTCAGTTTCCCTGTATTCTTTTCTACGGCCCTACACGACACTAGATCCGCTTAGTGTAGGTCAGGTAGGACCCGGCAGAACCCCTCAGGGCAGGCAATGAACTGATTAGACGAGGCTGTGCTTCCCGAATAGCACGCACCTTCGTGTCCCTGTATCGAGACACGAACGTGGCCCGAATACAGATATAATGACCACGGGTTCTGTACCGGGAAAGACGGTCCGGTAGTTCACTGGCCTAAGGTTGGAGGAGGAGGGTCATGCCTGCAATACACCTCTTAGAGGAGGAGGGTCATGCCTGTAATACACCTCTTGCAGGAGGAGGGTCATGCCTGTAACTGTCTCTTATACACATCTAGATGTGTATAAGAGACAGCTACATACCCTCCTCAGTCGTCGTCGCAAAGCAAG